TATGATATGGAATGAATGGACGGGGACATATGAAATTTATGGAGATAGATAGGAGTTAAAATGAAGGGTAGTTTTGCATACCTCCCAACTTTAGCATCCTGAGAATCAGGATGCTGGTGGGAGGGAGGTAAAGGGGATGGGAAAGTGATGTGATCGTGTAACATAGCGCAAACTTGTGCTATAATTATTGGGGGCAGTTCCCTGGTGTCCTGAAAAGAGACAGGGAAGTAAGAGGGGACAGGACACGAAAATTGGGACTGCTGGGGGCATGGATTTAAAAATGGAGGTGAAGGAATACAAGATGAAAATGAAGAAATACGAGGTGATTGGGTGGCGATGAAATTAAGAAGATGGTATGAATAGGAATGCAGAGAAATTAAGAGTATGAGATTGTGACAGTTTTTATATGTGGGATGGGAGCTGGAATATCTACACACTCACATCTCAAGTACAAACTAGCTGACATTACAAATCATATAATTAGACATAATCAAACTTACCCACACCTACCAGAAGAAACAAACAGGAACTGATAATTGTGTACTCACTATTCCTTCCCCTCACACACAGGAAGAAAGCAAATTAGTTCCACCAAAAATGCTTTCACAGTCAAGATCCATGTTACTTCCTCAGTTGGCCACTAGATGGAGGAAAAGTCAAGTCAACTAGCCCTGAGCTTAAACATGTATATTTACTGGTACTTCTGGTACTAAAGCGAAAATGTCCTCTTAAAGAGGAACTATGCCCTTCCAGGATGTTTTAATATATTGTTTAACTACCTTCTATAGTTAACAATTATATGTTTGTGAAGTCTGAAAAAAAACCTTAACCCCTTAAGGACCAAACTTCTGGAATAAAAGGGAATCATGACATGTCACACATGTCATGTGTCCTTAAGGGGTTAAAGTAACACTTCAAACACCATAAAGGGCAGTATGCTGTCAAAGCTATGGATCCAGAAGTGCTCTGCCTCCGTCCCATCTTTAGTAGTCAAACCATTTTGGTATTGTTTGACAATAATTACTTGGTGTCCATAGCTGCAGCCCCTGGTTCTGTTCTTGTTGTTTAAAAGAATGTGGTTAGCGGTTCAGAGCTAAGCAGGGCCCTGCAGTACTGCTGCAAGGTGTGGAGTTTAGTAGATGTGCTGTATAACACAATACTGGGATTACAGTAAAGAGAAGGGTCAAACGTAAGAATGGTCAGATAAGTCAAAGGTCAGGTCACGCAGCACAGGTTAGTAAACAGGAAGGAAGGCAAGTTCCCAATACCGCTTCTTTCCTGATTGTTCTTTTTGGTATCTTGACCTTGGCATTGACTACTCTCCATTCTCCTGTTCTTGACTCGGCTCTCGTACCTCGACTACTCTCTTATCTGGTTCCCTGACTCGGCTACTACACTTGTTTTCGTGATTTCTGTATTCCTTGAACCCGGCTTGGTCTTGACCATTGTCTTTCTGTCAAATGTAAAGCCTGGCCACTCTAAGGTCCGGAATACGTTTTTGTATTACACCTGGCATGTTTGGTCTCCTAGGAGTCCCGACAGTGTGTTAGGATGATGTGTGTGTGTGTGTGTGTGAGAGGTGTAGTGTGTATGCAAGAGGGGTGTTGTGTGTGCAAGGTGAGGGTGTGTATTTGAGGGTGCTATGTGGGTAAGGGTGCTGTGTGTGAGGGGTTCAGTGTGTATGTGCTGTGTGTGAGTTATGGGTGCTGTGTTTGAGTGAGGGTGCTATGTGCGTGTGAGGGTGCAGTGTGTGTGAGGGTGCAGTGTGTGTGAGAGTGAGGGTGCTGTGAGTGTCAGGGATGCAGTGTGTGCGTGTGTGTAAGTGAGGGTGCTGTGAGTGCCAGGGGTGCAGTGTGTGAGTGTGTGTGTGTGTGTGGGTGCTGTGAGTGTAAGGGGTTCAGTGTGTGTGTGTGTGTGAGGGTGCTGTGTGTGTGTGAGTGAAGGTGCTGTGAGTGTTAGGGGTGCAGTGTGTGTGTGTGTGAGTAAGGGTGCTGTGAGTGTCAGGGGTGCAGTGTGTGTGTGTGTGATTGTCAGGGTTGCAGTGTGTGTGTGTGTGTGAGTGAAGGTGTTGGTGTGTGGATATGTTTGGAGGGCTTGTGTGTTGGAGAGGCAGATTATTATCTATGTATTAAAAAAATACATAGATCATTCTCAGCCAATGAGAGTAAAGCTAACTGTATTCTCCTAAAGTAGAAGTCCAGAAGCAGGACCTGAGGCGACAAATGCCCAGCAAGACCCAGTTAAATCATCAAACTGTAGTAAGAAGGATTGACTACTTATCCTGGGACAGAGCCAGGGTACTCCAGGCACCATGACCACTACAGCGAGCCAAGATCCAGACAAAGAGTGGTCTTTCAGCAAGAAAAATAAATGGTAATTAATGTATATTCAAACAGTACAGTGGTTTGCAAGAGTGATGTAGATAGGGTGAGAGTGTACGTGTTGGTGAAAGGCAAAGAGCAGTGTCTGTTGAAGAGCTATATGTTCTAATAGCTGGGGGATACACTCAAAAGCTTGTCACAAGAGGGTCAGGATTAACTCAACAAGATTCAAGACCAGAGATAGTCTATACTAAACATATTTCACACCAATTCAAAAAGACAATAGACTGAATATAGTCAGCCCTCCCCCCTCCAACAATTATGATTTCAAGGTCCTGTCCCGCCATCCCGATATATTGCTACTTGGTGTCCAGGCAACTGCCTCAGGCAGCAAAGCTCCAGCACATCGTTAAACGTCATTGTGTTGTGCATGGGCACCTGGACCCTGCAGAGACTGCTTCAGCAGCGGTCTCTGCAAGGTCCTTCAGTGGGTGGCCCTGACCCATTTTTGGGTTTGTTGACTCAAAATATTTATTGTATAAACTGAATGAGAGTGATTGTTAATGGAAAATTCTCAAATTGGACAAAAGTTGTAAGTGGAGTCCCTCAGGATTCTGTAACAGCGTTATAAGGCAATATGCCATGCATCACAGACCACTCTCCTAGTGTTGCTATCACCATTGCATGAAACTCATATAAATACTTGTTTCAGTTACATCATTTGGCAAGATTGTGCCTATATTATGATAATTTCCTTTTAATTTCTTTCCCCCCTGTCTCAGAGCCAGCAGCATTACATAGGAAGTGACTTCGTAGCCAGATTAACCACAGGGCAACTTAAGGCAAATGTTTGGGGCCCAACAAAAACACCCATTTACTTGACCTGTTTTTGACTGACTTGCTGTGCCCTGATTGGTGGCATTTGCAGTTCTGTATTATAGTTGCAATCAGACTTTTACAAAACTGGCCCAAAAGTGAAAACCACAAATACTCCGCACCTCTTTGGGCATACACTGTGCTCTCACTATTCCACGGCACTTATTAAATAAATCATAGTTTGGACCAGGAAATAATGATGTAATTTCCCATCCAGCACTCTGATTCAGACACTCCGTACCAGAGAGAGCAGTGACAGAAGAGGCTGCATGGCTCCATATGACACGCAGAGTTCTCTCTCCACAAGAGTTAAAGGTTGGATTTTAGAGTATGTGAGGCCCAACTGAATTGAGCAAATCGGCAGCGCAAACTGGTAACCTGTCTCTGGCCTTGTTGAGTCTTAGTCTGGCTCTAGTTGAGCCATGGCTTTCTTCATCCATATTTTCTGGCCTTTTTCAAAACTGGAGGTATTTCCAGTTGCCGCATTGCTCTCTTACAGCTGTCATGGCTACTTGCATTTGATTAAAAGCTCATCATTTTTTCTTCTCATCAAATGCAATAAAATGAGATGCATGCCATAACATAACAATCTAAATCTTTTATTATCCTAAAGTACAATGTAACACATCTGATCTATTTTAAATCAAGAAATACACAAACATCTGAAAATAGCTCTATCAAATCAACATTTATTTACATAGTTGTGTTTAAAATATTCTTTCTACAAAAAAGAGCACTGTTTTCATCTAGTGAGGTTCTAGCAACTGTAATTTCTCTCTTTCAATGTTACAATCATTTATAAATTGCAATTCAATTTTTATACACTCTTTACATTCTAGTTTTCATGACTTGAAATACACATATAGAATAAAATAAACTTTGTTGACATTCTATGGTGCCAAAAGCAAATCACAATGTGAACTAAACAAAGTTGAGCTAATTATCTCCCATTGCTTCACTGTAATACTATTGAAAGAAAGTGTTTTACCTGCTTAAAGGGACTCTCCATATACCTAAAGCACTTTGACTTGCTGAAGTGCATAATGTGTGATGACTATGACCTCTTCTTTTTTTTTTTTTTTTTCATTTTACAAATCGTAAAATTGGCACATTTATATATTAACCTTGTTATACCACCCCTCTCCCCCCATCTGTCAATCAGATAACCAGTCCTGTTAGTTCCTGGTTTGTTTAGCTTAGTTGAGCTAAACTTAAGAGGCAGACAAATGCTCAGAGCACATACCTTGAAATACTTCTCATTTAGCTGCATTAGAAAGTATTTGATTGGACAGCCACAGAAAGTCTGGGCGGGGTTAGAAGGGGAGGGCTCGCAAAGGCAGCAGACAAGAGATCTGCAGCATTTGCAACCTGGTTTTAGATAAACCCCCAATGAAAAAAAACTATATATTTAAAAGCATGCAGGTTTTCAGCTACTAAATTGTTAAAAAATAAGATAATTTTTTTTTTTTTGCCATTGGAGTATTTCTTTAATGATGTAGTTGACACATGATAATCCAGTGCAGTTAGAAATATTTAACTTTAGTTTTCATTTTAAAATAGCTGGACACAATAAAGCAATCCCTACACTGTATCAGCAGTTGTTTAAAGGACCACTCTAGGCACCCAGACCACTTCAGCTTAATGAAGTGGTCTGGGTGCCAGGTCCAGCTAGGGTTAACCCATTTTTTCATAAACATAGCAGTTTCAGAGAAACCGCTATGTTTATGAATGGGTTAAGCCTTCCCCTATTTCCTCTAGCGGCTGTCTCATTGACAGCCGCTAGAGGCGCTTGCGTGATTCTCACTGTGAAAATCACAGTGAGAGCACGCAAGCGTCCATAGGAAAGCATTATCAATGCTTTCCTATGGACGCTTGCGTGCTCTCCTATGCGACCAGCTGAATGCGCGCGCAGCTCTTGCCGCGCGTGCGCATTCAGCCGACGGAGGAGGATCGGAGGCGGAGAGCTCCCCGCCCAGCACTGGAAAAAGGTAAGTTTTACCCCTTTTCCCCTTTCCAGAGCCGGGCGGGAGGGGATCCCTGAGGGTGGGGGCACCCTCAGGGCACTATAGTGCCAGGAAAACGAGTATGTTTTCCTGGCACTATAGTGGTCATTTAACTGCATGTGATGGTGCAAAAAAAATCTGATGAAAGTAATTTTAAGGAAAGATATTGGATGTTTAAGATTATATTGGAAACAGCTTACTATGCCTTTATGTTGATGGTTAAAACTCAATAACAATATTATAAAATACATTAGTT